ATAGTCTATGCTATCTAGTTTCCTAGGTACTTCTCTCGGGTCATTGTTTGAGTCACTTTTCAAAAGATTTCCATTACATCTGGTCAGGTGAGTAGACTTTTCAGAAGGTTCTTTCAAAGAGCTCTTGGGAAAAAGAGGCATGGTTTGCATCTCTCTGTTTAGATGGACGTGGTCGTCTCATCTGGCTAAAAATTTGTACTCATACCATTTGTTCTGCTCTGGGAATCTACAAGTACTCCCCATAAATCAAATTGATTTAATGGGGCAGTCATCTTACAGTAAACATTTAGTGTATCCTGCTAGGTACAGAATAAGTCACTTTTAACCAAAATATCACTACCGATAGGATTTCTAACGTAATATCACAGAAACTGCTGAATGCATCCTTTTTATGAGACAGTATCAAGCTTTAGTCCATGTTTGTTCACTTTAAGGAAGTTATCTTCATTGCCAGTTTTGTATGTCAATGTTCAAAACAGTTTAACTTGAATTCAAAAGTTTAGCAGTTTGACTGAGATCTGACTGTCTCAATTGCATTTCGCAAAGATGTGAACTCTAGTTACTAGTTAAATGCAGCATTACCCTGGTAAATTGTGGCTTTTAGCACTCTGTAAACATAGAATAAAAAGTGCTTCAATTACAGGGCTTGAACACCGCTTAGAAATTCTAGAGCTGACAAACCAGAAGGTAGTTTCCTGTAGTCTTATGATTAGGCTATAACCAACTTCATTAAAGGTTTGACTGCTTTAATAATTTAAATTGTGGCTCTCTTTTCAAAGACTCATCAGTAGCTCCATTAACTTCTGCATCTGCCGTGTCTCTTCATGGTTGCTCCTTTGTTGTCTGCCAGTCTATGACGCACCTCTTGCAGTGTTTCTTCACTGTTAATGGAGGAGGGTAGAGCGGAGGTAATTTAGTGCTGCAATCTGTGCGTGTGAGCATGTTCTGGTACCAGTTCCTGATCAGGATGATTTAGAGTTGACGTTTGTCAGTGCTAGAAGGGCACAAACCAGAATACTGTTTGAAACCCAGAATGAATCTCAACAGGACAAGCAGGGCTCATGGAGGAAGAAGTTAGTACATGTAACTACAGTGTGAACAGAGAATCTTGTAATGTGTGCCTGCATCGTGCTGCCTGGAGTTCACAGGAATACAAGGTAACTTGGGCTGGAGGGGGCACCTCAGGAGGTCCTTGTCCAGCCTCCTGCTCAAAGCAGGGGCAGCCTTGGGGTCAGACCAGGTTGCTCGGGGCTTGATACACTCAGGTCTTGAAAACTTCCCAAGGATGGAGACGGCTCAGCCTTTTGGGGCCGCCTGTGCTAGTCCTTGACTGTCCTTGTGGTGGAAAAGATTTTCTTTACATCCAGTCTGAACCTCTCATATTTTTAACTTATGCCCATTGTCTCTCATCCTCCTGCCACATGCCACTGTGGAGAGCCTGGCTCCATCTTCTCAATCCATTCCCCAGAGGCATACGGCTGCTGTGGGTGCCCCACAGCTCTCCCTGCCCCAGGCTGACCGAGCTCTGCTCCAGCAGCCTCTCCTCCAGCCCCGAATGCAAGTGGTCCAGCCCCAACCACCCTGGGGGCCTCTGCTGGCCTCATTCCATTTGATCCACATCTTTCTTGATTTGTCTTGATATCTGAACAAGACCAGTCAGTCTTGGAAAGTATTCCCTCCAGGCTTTTTATGTTCTGAAATTAATAATGCTACTTTCATACATTGTTTACTCTTGAGTTTTAAACAGGGGAGGAGTAGTGGAGAGATCAAATACTGTGTTGGCCTTTGAGGAGGCATCTCTTAGCACAGTGTTTTCTGGAGGGGGAACATAAAGGGAAAACATGCCTTCTTTTCTCTCTTTTTTTTTTTTTTTTTTTTTTTTTTTCCCCCCCTTCATACAACATGTTTCTAGCATTTGATAATTAGAATTGCTGCCAATATTTAATATTAGCAACCCTTCTTATCCCTCTTCAAGGGTGAGGGTAATGGTTTAAATGAAATTGATGATGGTTACTACTTACTACTGATCAACAAGCTTTTTGTGATGACCTATGGAAAAAAAAAAAGAATTACAGTAAAAAAAAAAAAGTGTTAAGCAGTTCCCCTCTGAGCTTTCTGGTGAAGGAAATTAATCTTGCTGAGAGCCCCAAGACACGCACCGTACCCCTCAGGTCTGGGCAGGTTCCCACCAACCCCAGCTGCTGCAGTGTGGTATCTGGGTCAGCCAGGCAGTGGTAGTCCAATAGCTCTTACTCCCTCCCTTCCTCCTGTCATGGAGACTTATATTACTGAGCATCCTCCTGCTACCCAGCAACAACTTGTGCTAAAGTCACAAGCTGGCTGGGTGTGCTGTCATAGCTCTGATACTTTCTTCCAGGCTTGTGTGAATGTACTGCTTGTAACTTTTTTCTCCTCTTTCTGAAATGGCTTTAACAAATTTTAGCAGTCTTCTGCAAATGGATGAAAGTTTTGAAGTCGATTGTTGCCATTGACTTTCATAAAGTTAGTTGGTTAGAAGAGTGACCCAAATGAGTGTGCCTGTTGAGAGAAGGAGGCAGAGCTCAGCTGGTGTGAATCAGCACATGCAGAGCTCCGCGTCAGCTGTGGTGTGTGCTTTTCTGTGCATGGAGTTTGAGTTTGCTCTTCTGTATGGAGTTAATAGTGAGGATTCAAATGCATGTGCAGTTCGGCAGGTGGTGGGCATGCTTTTCTGCTGGAGGGACTGGCAGGAAGGTGACTATGTATGACTGTGTGCCAGAGGGAAGAGGGCTGCAATAATCAGAGAACTTGATCCTGCTTGCTTAGTACTTGGCAAAAGCTTGGCCATATAGACAAAGGGTGTGTTTTAAACTTCAGCTGCTCCTGACAGAAGTTTCTCACTCTTCCTCTTGCCCTCAGCCCTGATTTGATGGTGTAAGTTTATGGCCAGGTCTTTAGTGAACTGGACTGGGGAACTACACTAGTTTAAAACTGCTTTTGTTTTGTTTTTTACCTACAGAGTTTAGCCTGAGTTGGTTTCCTCATCCCATTCATCATGTACAGTACACGTGCTGACAAAAAGGGGTGAGGTTGTGTGCAACAGGAATGAGGCACCAATAGTAAGGGCAGGGTGGGACTGCTTCTTCTAGTGATAGTGCTTGTTATCATTAAAGTGCTCACTGACCCATAACACTAATAAATAATGCCCCATTTCCTAGAATATAGCTGTAGCTATATATAGAATATATATATCTCTATATAATATATATATAGAACATAGCTGCTATCACTGTCACAAATAGTACCCCTGTTTTCAGTTTGGGCTGAGGCTCCCCTGCATTTGCTTGCTGCAGAACACAGCTTATTGTGGATGCTGTTACTGTGCTTTGTGCTGTGCTTGAGGTTATTTGCAACACAGTGTTCCAGTGACCTAGAAGTGCAGGTTAGTGTGAGTAAAGTTACAGCTGTGTTTACTTATTTATTTATTTTTGATGGCAGGGATGATTCTTGTAGCCTTTAGTTCTTGTTCTAACCTGTGTATTCCAATGCAGTTTGATCTTTATTGAAAAGGAAAACATTCTGTTGTGGCAGTGAAACCAGGTGATGCTTATCTGAAGCTTTGATGGGGGCACATAAGCTGCAGCAAAGCATTTTCAGAAGGCTGCCCCCTTCTCTGAGTACAGAGTTTTGGAGGGGTTTTGCCGAGTTTCTTTGTTTCAGTGCAATAGGAAGATACATATTTGCCTGTTAAAATTTGCTTGATGAATGCTTAGCTATTTTATTTATGTACTCAATATAAAGTACACCATGATATTCACACTGCTCAAAATCTGTTATTTCTGTCCTGAAAGTGTGTCTTCCATGCAGCAGTTCCGTAATAAGTAACCCTAGCCTACTCCAGTGAGATGTTTTTGCCTCCAAATAAACTGATCTGGGCACTGAATCGTATCACTAACTTTTACCTAAAGCAACTTAAAGCCTTATTTAAATCAATCTATGTGCAATGTGAAGCTTTTCCGTTTGCCAGGCTGGCTGTCACATGCCTTTTCAGCTGTTTTGGTGCTGCCCACTTGAGAAGAAAAGGCTGGCTGCAGTCATTGCTCAGGATTGCTTGGGTTGATGGGAGAAGACAGTGACTTGATGATGCCTTGGCATCTTCCCTGCCCTGCTCAGCCAGCAAAAATCAGTATGGAAGAGGAGTAATTGCAGTTCAAGTGCATGGTGGCTGGGGAGGGAGGAGAGGATAGTTTGCTGTAGTGTCTGATTTTGTTGGATGAGGAGCTGCTGGGGGTTGTAGAGTTCTAAGGGTCCTTCATCGCTGCTCTTGGATCTTCACAACAGCAGCAGAGATTCACTAGTAGGAGCAGACTCCTCAGAGTAAGGATTGGTGGAAGAGCAGTTAAGGAATGCAGACATGATGTATGAGGAGTGTATGTGGGAGGACATTAGTTATTGCTTTTGTTACTTTGAACTTGAGGCTTGTCCTTGTCTCACTTGAAAGTCGCACAGCTGCTGTCAAGCAGGAGGGAAATAAACCCACAGATTTATTTCCTTAAAATCATTAGCAGAATTGCATACTTTGGTCCTGTACTTCTTAATATATTACTAGAGAGGTCATAGACTTCAGTGGTGTTTGGTAAAGCATAAGTTGCCTGTGCTCAGGGAGGGCTATGGCATCTTCACTCTATTTCTCCATCTCACTGCGGTGAAAAGAACAGTGGGCTAACTTAATGTTTATTGTGGAATGACACAAGGAACCATGGAGCTGACCCCTGGGCTGTAGTTTCTCACTATTTCATCCAGGAGGGAGGGCAGGTGTGTGGTGGGTTGTGGGTTTGGGTTTTTTTTTTTGTATGTGCCTCTTGAGCACTCATGTTGTTGCATGCTGTATCGTGTTGAATGTAGCTTTACAGCTGTACTGGTTTCATCATCAGCTTCCACTTGTGCAGCCGTGCTCAGAGTCCTGCCTTTAGGCCATGTTTCTAGACCTGTCTGGCCACTGCTTTTCTTCCCATTTAAATTTAAGAAGAACTTCTGATCATAAGCATGGGGACTTCCTAGACAACCAACTGAGGGGGAAATGGCTTAAGCAGTGTTTTGACATTGTGTATTTCAGTTCCTCTGAGATAAATCAGCAGCTACCCATTCAGATCAATGTAATGCTGTAAGTTGGGGTGGAATGAGAGCTTTTTGAGCAATGTTAGGCCTACTTTCTCTTCTTTCTGTATTCCAGTAGGACTTTTCTCGGATTATGCACACTGGCTTCTGCACTCAAGGGATTATCATAAGGAACCAGAAGGCTGAGGAGTCTCTTGGGATTGTTACACAGCCGTGGGCGACAGACTGAATATCACTGATGGGACTCAAATCAGAGATACCCTTGAGGTACTTAGGAGTCCTGTTAGAGTTAATTTTCTCTTCTACCTTTAGGGAAAAGAAATATAATTTTTCTGAAAGTAGTTATGATGTCTCTAATACATCAGCAGTCTGTTTCTCATATTTTAATTTCATTGTCTGTGGTGTTGAAAGTATCCTCTAGTGCTCAGCCTTATTGAACAGTTTTCTGCTTCATCTAATACTGGTATGTGTAAGCTGATTTTTATTTTATCCCCACCCCATCCCCCCAAAGCATCGTCTGTTTTGAGTCTGTGGGCCCCACTTGTCATATGGATGAATTATCTCAGAGCTGCTCTCTAGCTGTTAGGAAGTGAGAAATTAATTCTGAATGTATTTGCAGTGAAACCTTTAAGATTGATTCTGACAAATGAACTTGGGGAAAATTTCTTGAATTACTTTAAAGAACCTTAGGCAGAGATTAGACTTTTTGTTTGGACACAGTAAAACAGACTTTTTGTTTGGACACAGTAAAACGGACTTTTTGTTTGGACACAGTAAAACAGACCTTTTGGGCATCAAGAGTCTTTATTCAAGACTGACTTTGGTGTTTCTCAGTGCCTTGATTTAATGAGGCCTTGATAGCTGTAGCCTGATCAACTAGGAACAGCAAAGGGCAGTTTGTTTGGAGCCAGCCTGTTCTAGGCCCCCCTGGACTGCCCAATGGTCTGTGCTATGTTATTTATCACTGTTGAACTTCCCTACAGGTGTTGTCAGGAATAGAAATAAATCAATTTTTGATAAATCCGTTGGGAAGACCATTTTTTTTCCCCTTTGTTTTATGACAATCCTGTAAATTCTGCTACTGTACTTTCTGTTGTAATGAAAGTCTCTGTGTATTTGCTTTGCCATGTACTGTCTTGGTCTCACTGTGATTTGAAGAAAGCATGTGGATATTGCTATGTGTCAAACAGCTGCAACTGTGTGATAATCTTTTTTTAAACCAGGGTTTCCTGTAGCCAGCAAGGAAGCTTTGACAGACTCCAGCTTCAGTTCCTTCTGCAGTCAGTACTGGTTTTGGCAGTGCCTTTGAGCATTTGTGCTTTTTGAGGTACACTTGAGCAATTCTTTAGGGTAGTTTTTCCAGACTAGTCTAATAATAACTAAAATTAGAAATGCTAATCATCTGTACCTGTGAAGATGGAAAGAATGAAGGATGGGACAAGACTTTTGTCTGTTGAGTAGATGCTAGTTGTCTGTCTTGAAGTAGTGTAAATACTTGTCAAAGAGAGTGCTGTGACAAAAATTCCAAACGTAGAGGCACTATCTAGCCAGCTATTCCCCAGAAAAAGCCAGTCTACTAGTGGGTCTGCTTTTTGTGAATGTGATAAGAGTACTGTCCAAAGGATTAAACCCACATTTTAAAATATTAAAGCTAAAACCACCAAGAGTATATAAAAACATGAAAACTAGCATCTCTTCAAAATCCAGAAGCTGCTAGTAAAATAGAGGAAATGCTGCTACAATTTGAAGAAAATTGAGATTCAAGGAAGGCTACTTTTCTGTATGGGTTAATGATTATAAATTAAATTATTAAAAGATGGAGAGTAAACTTGCAATAAAAATCTAGGTGTTTCAGTTCATCTTAATACCATCAATATGCACAAAGTTGAACATATATGTGAAATCTTTAACTAGAAAAGAAGTGATAAACTGCCTAATACGCATTATCAACATTCATTTGAATTAATACAGGTCTTAATTTAGGAGCATATTGCATAGATTATGCTAGGGCATGAGCTTCTGGCAGTTCTTCCACCCAGCTTGAACATACCTATACTATTTCATTTTAGAGATTTATTTTGTTTTGAGGTAAACTGTAGGAGTTACAGAGCTTGGGGCAAAGACAGTTGTAGGGGATTGTGGCTTGCCAGGTGTGCGGTCCAGCTTCAGCTGAAGTACTCATCTTCTGGTTTTGATGTCAAAGACTTAAAATAACACCTAAAGCTTGAAACTATCTGGAAACGTATTTCCAATATCTTTCTAATGAAGATGTCAAATGCTTGCTGATGCTGCTTGTGCACCTACAGACTATTTTGGTAGTTTCCATTATAGATGGCTAGGCAGAATTGAGCACTAAAAAAAGTGATGTGTCTTTCTGTAACTTTGTTATGTACTCAAAATTTTGGGATAGTCTCTCAAAATCAGGCAAAATTCTGCACACTGTGCATTAAAGATGGTGATAAAATTACATTTTTTATCATGTGTAACTGATTCTGTTACTTCCTGAAATAATTCTTTGAGGACTGCAAAACTAGAAACTGCTATGCTGGAGTGTTAAGTGATGTGGCCCAAGAGTGTCTTGTCTTTAGGAATGACAGCCCAGAAAGACATGAAGATCTTTGGACCTCTAAGGACTCAGCTGCAGGAAATTTTATTTGTGTGGTTGAAAATGCTGTTGAGCATATGGATTTCAGGTTTGGGATTAGAGTAGCATGATTCGTGTCATTTCCACATTTTATTGTCAAATGCTGAAATACAGTGCCAAAATTATTCTGTTTTAAAATTTGTTTTGGACGTGCTGGTATCCTATACAAGACACTTGATGACAAGATCCAAGCTATTGTGGTTGCAAAGTGAAATGCCAGGGCTGAGCTGGCTTGTGCAACCTGAGTAATGCACGAGTATTGAGTTAATAACCGGTAATGGTGTAGTCATGTGCTGAATCTCTTCCCGGCATCATCCCTCCTTGCTTAATATGCAGCAGAGATTCAGAAAATATCTTCTCAGTCTAACCAGGTGAGGACAATTCTTGCCTCTTCACCACCTCACGAAGTTAGCAGTGGATTGAGCAAGGCTGGTGATGTTTGCTGAGGGGTTTGGTGAGAGGAAGGAGCCAGAACGGGCGAACCTAAGCCATACTGTGGTTCTTTAAGGCAAGATGTAGTGCTATGTGGAAAAGATTTAGCAAGGTGGCTGGGATAGGCTGCTTTGGGGAATTAACATCAGGGTAAGGGAATGGGCTGTGTAACCTTTTGAGGTTGTTTCCAGCCTTAAGATTGCATCTTCAGGCTGGATGTATTAGTCCATTGCTATGGAGCCTGTTCCTCAGCCGTTGCAGGAGGCAAAATGAATGTAATGAACAGGTCTGGTCTGACTATTGAAAGGGAGACTGCAGTCTGGAAAACATTCAGGTTTTTGTTTTCTCTGGAGTAAAGATCTGCTAAACCCAAAAATTTTTCCATACGTGATTCGTAAAGCAGATACTGATTTGTTGGCTGAACATCATGTAAAGTCTTCTAGATACAGAACTAGAAAGGACTCTGTCTTAAGACATTAAGATTTAAATTTTAAATAAAATTATTTTTATAAAAACACTTAATCCCCAAAAGCAGGATTCACCTTGGAAGTTATAAATTCGCTCAGATGCTTGCTCCTAACCAATTCATTAGTTTTTAAAATGGGAAAGGTAGGTTACTGGTTAACTGGCAGTACCTCAGAGCACTTCACAGCGTGATGGCTGCAGCAGCAGCCCTGTTTGGAGGAAGTGTGGGCCTGCTGCGAGCAGAGCTGCAGGGGTCAGCTGGATTTGGCTGGGTGAGCTGCTCCACTTCAGCCAGGTTGGTTTTCCTCAGGACCAGTTTGTATTTGACAGGGCTCAACAAGCTGCAGCCTTCCTGGACAGGGGCAGTTCTCATAGGAGTGTATCTGTGCTGCTTCACTCCTGAGCTAATAAAATTTGCTAGATTTGAGCTGGTTGGATTGGTCATGAGTTTCTCCTTCAGCTGAACACAGAGAAGAGTGTAACTAACTTTTACGTATTCCAGGAGCCCATGTGTTTCAGTGGTGGATTCTTGGGTTTTGTAGCTGACAGCCCGTCTGGATGAGCTGCTCCTGAACTTAGGAGCATCAACAGCAGAGGACTATGGGAGAGTTGTGTGTTCATAAACCAGGAGTTGAATCTGAGGTTCCACGCAGCTGAAACGGGTATCCTTGTGTCATGTTCATGGTTTTTTGAAATACATAGTAAATATTGCTGGTGGTGTGGCTTGAGGTGAGAATTTAATGATCAGGCATCCTTTTTTTTTATTAGAAATTACCGTATGTGATAGAGCTGCATTGCATTAAACCTGTAGTGGCAAAGGATTTTTCCTCTTACTTTTTCTTATTTCCATACTTTTTTTGGGAAAATAATTCTTCAGATATTCTCTAGTTAAAAGGTATTCTGTGATTCTGTGTGTGTTTCAAAACAGCGTTGCCTGTGTGTTTCTGATAGAGAATGGGAAGCAGCTAATGAAACTCCTGTAAACTATTGGCGATGATGCACTGAGTACCTGTTTAATTATCAGAAATGGACGATATCATTCTCCCTGACTGGTGTTCAGCCTTCATGCCATTGCTGTGCTTTCAGAGTGTGGCGTGCACTTAATTTCAAGATGGAGAATTGAAAATAATTTCTAAGATGCAGCTTGCAGTTAGGATCATACTCAGATGTAATCTGAGTGTTATTTGTCATAGCTTGTCTAAACCATGCAGTGTCCTTTCACACTGAAGAATCTCTTAATTATGAAAAGCTATTTTCAGACTTCTGGGTATGTCACATTTGTGCATAGATACGTGTTTTGTGTGATGTTTACATAATTGTGAGTTTATAAAAAGAGTGGAGTTGGGCAAAACCCAGCTTCATACAATTGGTGAATGACTGCAACAAATAATTTAAATATCAGTAATTTTTCTTTAGGCCTTATGTTTTTGAAGGTCTTGACTATCTGGGCATAGATCTTGGTATTAGTGTTTGGAGAGCACACGTTCAAAATGCTGAAGTCCACTGTATCATAATTAACTTGTTACAAGCACAGTATAAGGGGTTACTTGTGCTTTATTTTTGCCACCTCTGACGGTGACATCTAATGTATTTGCCCCTTCTCCATCTGCTGTTTAGCAAGGAAGACAGTGTCTTGAATTCCCAATGGCTGACTCTTCTTTAGTGGTCATTACCTCCTGTGTTAACGTGAGTCATTCTCAGCCTTACTGAGCGTAAGGATCAGTGT